CCCATGTGTGCATCCACCCAGGTACTGGCTGACGTGGAGAGCTTTATCAAGTGGCTTGACGACAAGACAGCAGCTCAGGCCAAGTGAGTTCATCGCCCCTAAATGCTACCACACAAGGGACTCCCTTGTGAGTTAAATAAGTGTTGGAGAAAGATATCATTTTTTTTGCCCCCCCTTTCCCCTTCAGCCTCAAATGCTAGCTCCATCAAAGTGTTTGAGGCATGGTCTCACTTCCAACACTCTCTTCCTGTTTCTCCCCCCCCTCCTCCCCCTGTTTCTTCCTCCTTTCTCCGCATCCCACCATCTGCTACTGCTGCTGGGTACAGAAAGAAGGCTCATGAGGACCCAGCCTTCTCATCCAAGGAGGTCTACAGCAGAGTTGATACCATTGAAGCCAAGGTACGTTGCTTCTCAGATTCACTCCACCTCGCACTCTCACTACCTGTGAGCACATGTCACTCACGTCACCACCCTCACTGCACTTTTCATGAGGATCCGTCCTTTTCAACCAAGGACTGTGTTGGAGCCAAGATACTCTTTCACACGTCATGCTAGATTAAGCTATTCCACTAATCAGCTTCTCACCTCATGTCACTCCTACTACCTCCTGTCTTGTTTCATCCTCTCCCTCTTCCTCGCATTGTTATAACGTGCCATCTGTGTTTTGAGACGATTCAAAACTCGATGTCTCATCTCATCCTCTCCCTCTTCTTCACATGTTACAGCGTGCAAGTTGATATCAGCACTTCCCATGCACCTTTCACACATGTTGCTTACGAATTCTCAACATTGAGTCAAGCATCTCATCCTCTTCGTCTTCCTCACACTGTTATAATGTGCCAGTTGATATCAGCACTCCCCATGCACCATTCACACACACCACTCCTCTCCTTAGTGCCGCTTTCTGCCTCCCCCTCTTCCTGCCTCCCCCTCTTTCCGCCTCCCCTCTTCCTTCCCCCCCCCCCCTCTTTCCGCCTCCCCCCACAGGTGAATCGCCTCAAGCGAATCCCGAAGCCCAAGCCCAAGAAGGTTCCTGCACCTCCCTCTTCCCGCAACGCCACCACCGGCAACACCACCACCAGCAACAACACCACTGGTGCCTCTGATTCTACCACCGATACCCCTTCCTCCTCTTCCACTAAGGACAAAAGTGCCTCCCCGCCACCAGCCGGCGGTGAGGAGAAAGGAAAGGGCGAGGAGTGGAAGGATGTGCGGGATGAGTTGTGAGACTTGGAGCGACACATCGGCACGCTTGCCATGGTAACATCGGCACACCTGCCATGGTGTGGTAACAATGCCTATGTTGTACTGTTTAAAGTTTTTTTTTTTAATCACGGAGTCTAGCGTCCACCTCACTGGCCTGGCCTGCTTCCTCGAGAAACAACTTCTGTTTAGGCAGCATTCCGAGTTGATTTGGAAAACACATTGCTAGCTGCAGAGCGGTAGTGATACCTTGTGATAATGTTTTCTCTGATGCAGCTCAACGGCAAGCCTTGGTGGCCAGACATGTTTGGTGCAAGCTCATTTCACTGCTGAGCTCTGTAGATTCTTTGTCTGGGTTACCATTCCATATTCTGTTTTACTACCGGTAATGTTTATTCCACTGGCCCGCAAATTCAGCGATTGGCTTTTGCATAGTACTTGGACTTGAAAACCACCTTGCTTGCTTCCTACCTACAGGTCACAGCGAGAGAGACCAGGTGATGGAAGAAAATTCCTGATAGCGGAGCAGCAAGCATTGCTGGACCTAGATAGCTGCTGCTGCAAGCTCACTGCACTGCTTAGAATAACAATCACCATTGGATTTGCTCCATCAAGTTGAAACAAAACTAAAAAATAATAGAGTCGTACAGACAACATTTAAACTCCACAGATTCCTACATATCATCTTCAGGAACTTCTAGAACTGTAGGGAAATCTTCAAGAGGAATCTTCTTTACTGGAAATTGGATCTTGGACCTTGCACTTGGCTTGGACCCCTCTTGGCCGCTAGAGGACAAGCCTCTAGCGTTCAACCTAACACTGCGATAAGGTGGAGGTCCTTCGTTAGGGAAACCTGCAAGGGAGGGGAGGGATGGTTGCTCGGGAAAAAAGAACAGAAGGGAGGGACGGTTAGGATTAAAGTAAATGCCAGTGGGCAGCAAACACCTCTGAGCTGGAAAGTAGCTTCTCTGTTGTCAGGTTGTCAGATTGCCGCGGTGAGCCACAAAAAGTGGCTAACCCCGTCGCGTCGCCAGCCCACCCATCGCCTACCCACCCAGCCCACACCGCCCTCATCTGTCCAGTCTGTCTGTGGCTGATCTAACGCTCCTACGATCTGATCTAACGCTCCTATACGGCACACCGGTTACCATGTGCTGCTGTTGCTGTTGTTGCTCCACCTCCTGAGAAAGGGAAGGAGGAGGGGAAGTGGGGATTCAAGCTCCTGAAACGAACAAGCGGAATAACAATAAAGCCGAAAAAAAAGCTGAAAGAAACGATGACGAAGAAGAGAAATAAAACCGTGCGCCGTGCGTCGTGCGATGGGAGAAGCGCCGTCCGACGGCAGAGATTCCGCCACCATGCGCCACGCGAGAAGGACAACCATTCCGCCGCGAAGATCGCGCCGTGAAGTTGTGCTCTTCGCTCCACCCGCTTCGCATACCACCAGCACGACTTCTCCTGGACTCCTCCTGCTGAACGCACCAAGAATAATCGAAGTAAGTAAGTGATCTTGAGAAGGATAAGAATAAGAAACGAACAAGCTGAACAATAATAAAGCTGGAAAAAAAGCTGAAAGAAACGATGACGAAGAAGAGAAATAAAACCGTGCGCCGTGCGTCTTGCGATGGGAGAAGCGCCGTCCGATGGCAAAGATTCCGCCACCATGCGCCACGCGAGAAGGACCACCATTCCGCCGCGAACATCGCGCCGTGAAGTTGTCGCCTGAAGATTTCGCCCGGCCGTGGAGGTCAGTTTCGAGAGAATCGCCGTGGAACAGAAATCTTCCTCGGGCAACAAGCGTAGTCAAGGTTCAACCCAGGCAGCAGGCAGCTCGCTCACTCACGAGTCTCTACCCAACCCATCCCACCCGACTTCTATAGCTCAACACTGCCGCGTGCCATTGGGTTTTCGCCAGTATTAGCCGGAAGCCTTTCGGAAAGATTAGCTTGCTCGGTGGACAGAAAGGATCATAAGTAGTAATGGAAGGGATGTGTGGGAACGGTCGAGTTGGTAGGAGAAGCAGTAACGCGCTGAAACATGAGTAGACGCGTGCTCTTTCATCCATGGTCTTCTTTCTGACTCAACCTTTCCCTGACAAACAAGGTTTGGATGGTTTGGATGGTTTGGATGGCGGCCAGTGCGCGCGATGCAGAGCGCTTCAAACCAATTGTGATGGGTGTCAGGAAGTATCGAGGTGTGCGACTTGTGAAATGTTTACCCAGTTTGGCTCCATTTGCTGGGTGCAGTGCGGTGCGACGCGGCACTGTGCTGTAATTTTGGCGGCCAGAGCGCGGATTTCTGTAGGAACAGCATGAACAACAGGATGGTGGTGGAGTAACTCTTTGAATGGTGACGATTTGCTTTGAGCCATCGTATGGATGTGGCATCATGGCATGGCTCTTGAAAATGAAGTTAAGGAGGAGAAATGATAAATAGCAAGTAGAAAGAAAAGACCTACAAGAAAGAGTTAAGGTCTAAACAAGACAAAGTTGATAAGATAAAGAAAAAACTCTTGAAGTAGAGATTGATTTAGAATGGAAAGGCTTTAAATGAGAAGGTTAAAGATAAGATAATAATAAACGTGAAAGAAAGATGATGGAAACATTAAAAGGAAAGGAAAGATTCACTAAAAGGAAGATCTTGAATAAGAGATTGATGAAGAGGTAAAAGGGGCTTGAAAGTAAAACAAACTTGATAATAGCAAATAAGATTTGAGAAGAAAGGAGACTTGATAAGAATGAAGAAGTCTTAAATAAAAAAGCTTGAAGAGAGAAGAATCTTGAATAGAACAAGAAAGCTTGAATAGGGAAGCTTAATAAAACAAAGAAGAAGTGACTTACCTTAAAAGAGTCTTACTTGTTATATTGAAGGAGCTTTGTAACTTGGAGAAGTCAAGATTGAATTGTTGAATAGTTGATCTTAATTGTTGTATGGAGAAGAGTCTCCAAGCTTGAGTGCTGAAAGGTAGATCTTGAATCTTGATGATGACAAAGCTTTGTGTTGAAACATTAAAACTTAAAATGCACTAGTCCAAAGGAGGTACATGATGGACTTGAGGAGCAACCATTAATAACAATCCAAAAGAAAGAAAGACTATGAAGCATAAACTTCTCTAGAGTTAGAGAACATGGCTATGAGCTTGGGTTGGGAGAGGTTGGTGATAAGAGTGGAGCCTTAGGAGTTGGGCATAAGGAGGAGGACTTTGAAGGTGGCCTTGAGAGAGATTGTAGTGGAAACTTGTAGAGAGCTTGGGTGTAAAGTGACTTGAAAATTGTGTTTGAGGAAATGAGGTGAACCTTTTTGTATTTGGTGGAGCTTGATGTTGGATGAAGGATGAAAAAAAGATGAATGATTGTGATTGGTTGAGTTGGATAAGGTGGGGGTGATGAATGTGGCCTTGAATTGAAGGTTTGGTGAGGAGAATGAATGTGGTCTTGAAATTAAGGCTTGGTGAATGAGATGAATTTGACTTTGATTTTAAGGCTTGGTGAGTGGAAAGAATGTGGCTTGGATTTGAAGGCTTTGTATGGAATCTTTTGTTTGATTGGTGGATGATGGGATAGGAAGGATGATGAGGATAGGGGGAGAGATGAGGTGGAGGATTGATAAGTTTTGATTGGTGAAAAATGATGATGTTTTGCTGTCTGGAGATATGAAGGGTCTGGTGGCGAATGGGCATTTTTGCAAGATGCCTTTTGTAGGTTCGAATTTTGGCTGACGGGGAAACTGTGGCGAAAATTTTCGCCACGTGAAATTTTGTCCCGCCACCCTGGTGCCACGCGAGCAGCTGCAGCAGTTCATTCCAACACCCCCCCGCACTGCTGACCCTCAGAGCGAGATGAAGAAGGAGCGGAAGAGACAGCAGTGGAGAAGCACTCAAGAGACTCGAGCGGCACCAATCCAGCACGTTGGCGGTCAAGAACGAAGAGGTGCCGTGGAAGTATCTCAGCTAGAAAGTCAGCAGCCTGGTCCGTGGTGCTGCAGTAAGCCGGTGTCACAACGTTGTTCTTAATCAGCTCCCGAATGTAGTGATTCTGTGTATCGATGTGCTTTGTGCGTCCATGATAGACCGGGTTCTTGCTCAAGGCGATCGCTGATGTGTTGTCAATGTGTAGAACGGTCGGCTCATGCTGGGGAAGACCCAACTCCGTCAGCAACCCTCTTAACCACACAGCCTCTCTTGCTCCTTGCCTCACAGCCATGTACTCCGCCTCCGTTGAAGATAGTGCCACACAGCCTTGCTTCTTCGACTGCCAAGAAATTGCTGCTCCCGCCATCACAAACATGTAGCCTCCCGTAGATTTGCGCTTGGAGAGAGGACCTGCCCAATCCGCATCCGTGAAGCCATGCAAGACACTACCATGCTCATGTCCATGAAAGAAGAGACCAAAAGATTTAGAGCAGAGAGGTAGCGCAGGACACGCTTCGCAGCGTTCAAGTGCTTAGTAGAAGGTGAGGAAAGGAATTGAGAAAGCATGCCCACAGCATGAGAGAGATCTGGGCGGGTGCAGACGGATGCGTACATGAGGCTACCGACAATGCTCTGGTAAAGATTAATGTCAAGGGGGGAAAGGAGTGATGAAGGAGGTATGGTGGAAGAAGGGGATGAAGAAGATGAAGACGCAAGAGCTTCGTGAAACTCGTCCCAGTCAGAATGAGGTTCAGGCTGAGAGGGCTGAAGGTCAGAAATGGCAGGAGAAGTGTGCTGGAAATTAGAAGGGAGAGGTGTAGATGCAGGATTGCAGGTGAGAAGGCCGAAGCGAGAGAGGACCCTGTGAATGTATCGCTCTTGTGAAAGAAAGAGAGAGCGAGAGGGACGGTCACAAATGATGTTCATGCCAAGGTAATACGATGGCTCACCCATGTCTGTCATGACAAACTCCTTGGTGAGCATACCTTTGATGTGGGTAAGAAGGGAGAGAGAACTTGACACCATGAGGATGTCATCCACATACACGATTAGCCACAGTACCTCATGCACCTCCGTATGCAGAATGTAGAGTGCAGGTTCATACTCAGACTGTGTGAAACCTTGTGCCAGCAGGGCGGACTCCAATGCGTGATACCAAACCCGTGGAGCTTGCTTCAGACCATACAGGGACTTGTGCAGCCTGCAGACCCTCTCAGTACCATCGTAATACCCATCAGGTTGAGCCGTGTAGATCTCCTCCTCTAAAATGCCGTAAAGAAAGGCGTTGGAGACGTCGAGCTGAATGATGTAGAGATCCATGCGTACTGCCATGCCAAGAAGAGCGCGTACACTGGTGTACTTGGCGACTGAAGCAAATGTTTCATTGTAGTCTTGTCCAGGAACTTGAGAATATCCTTTGGCGACCAAACGAGCCTTGAACTTGTCCAGGGATCCATCTCCGCTCGGCAGCTGCTGCTGCCCTCCGCTCTGCAGCTGCTGCTGCCCTCCGCTCGGCAGCTGCTGCTGCCCTCCGCTCTGCAGCTGCTGCTGCCCTCCGCTCGGCAGCTGCTGCTGCCCTCCGCTCTGCAGCTGCTGCTGCCCTCCGCTCGGCAGCTGCTGCTGCCCTCCGCTCTGCAGCTGCTGCTGCCCTCCGCTCGGCAGCTGCTGCTGCCCTCCGCTCTGCAGCTGCTGCAGTTTGGTTGCCCGTCGCCTCCGGCCCCGGCCCCGCGCTCGGGGCCTTTCCGCTTGGTCCGGGGAATCAGGGTTGGCATCCTCCCCCTCCATTGGGCTTGATTCCAGCTCATCGGTGCAAGCCTCGTTCGCCATCTCCACATCCAACACCCAAACCGGCTCTTGCTGCCCTCCGCTCCGCAGCTGCTGCTGCCCTCCGCTCTGCAGCTCCCGCTGCCCTCCGCTCGGCAGCTGCTGCTGCCCTCCGCTCTGCAGCTGCTGCTGCCCTCCGCTCTGCAGCTGCTGCTGCCCTCCGCTCTGCAGCTCCTGCTGCCCTTCGCTCTGCAGCTCCTGCTGCCCTCCGCTCTGCAGCTGCCGCTGCCCTCCACTCGGCAGCTGCCGCTGCCCTCCGCTCGGCAGCTCCTGCTGCCCTCCGCTCTGCAGCTGCTGCTGCCCTCCGCTCGGCAGCTGCTGTTGCCCTCCGCTCTGCTGCTCCTGCTGCCCTCCGCTCTGCAGCACCTGCTGCCCTCCGCTCTGCAGCTCCTGCTGCCCTCCGCTCTGCAGCTCCTGCTGCCCTCCGCTCTGCAGCTCCTGCTGCCCTCCGCTCTGCAGCTGCTGCTGCCCTCCGCTCGGCAGCTGCTGCTGCCCTCCGCTCGGCAGCTGCTGCTGCCCTCCGCTCTGCAGCTGCTGCTGCCCTCCGCTCGGCAGCTGCTGCTGCCCTCCGCTCTGCAGCTGCTGCTGCCCTCCGCTCGGCAGCTGCTGCTGCCCTCCGCTCTGCAGCTGCTGCTGCCCTCCGCTCGGCAGCTGCTGCTGCCCTCTGCTCTGCAGCTGCTGCTGCCCTCCGCTCGGCAGCTGCTGCTGCCCTCCGCTCTGCAGCTGCTGCAGTTTGGTTGCCCGTCGCCTCCGGCCCCGGCCCCGCGCTCGGGGCCTTTCCGCTTGGTCCGGGGAATCAGGGTTGGCATCCTCCCCCTCCATTGGGCTTGATTCCAGCTCATCGGTGCAAGCCTCGTTCGCCATCTCCACATCCAACACCCAAACCGGCTCTTGCTGCCCTCCGCTCCGCAGCTGCTGCTGCCCTCCGCTCTGCAGCTCCCGCTGCCTTCCGCTCGGCAGCTGCTGCTGCCCTCCGCTCTGCAGCTGCTGCTGCCCTCCGCTCTGCAGCTGCTGCTGCCCTCCGCTCTGCAGCTGCTGCTGCCCTCCGCTCTGCAGCTCCTGCTGCCCTCCGCTCTGCAGCTGCCGCTGCCCTCCACTCGGCAGCTGCCGCTGCCCTCCGCTCGGCAGCTCCTGCTGCCCTCCGCTCTGCAGCTGCTGCTGCCCTCCGCTCGGCAGCTGCTGTTGCCCTCCGCTCTGCTGCTCCTGCTGCCCTCCGCTCTGCAGCACCTGCTGCCCTCCGCTCTGCAGCTCCTGCTGCCCTCCGCTCTGCAGCTCCTGCTGCCCTCCGCTCTGCAGCTGCTGCTGCCCTCCACTCTGCAGCTGCTGCTGCCCTCCGCTCGGCAGCTGCTGCTGCCCTCCGCTCGGCAGCTGCTGCTGCCCTCCGCTCTGCAGCTGCTGCTGCCCTCCGCTCGGCAGCTGCTGCTGCCCTCCGCTCTGCAGCTGCTGCTGCCCTCCGCTCGGCAGCTGCTGCTGCCCTCTGCTCTGCAGCTGCTGCTGCCCTCCGCTCGGCAGCTGCTGCTGCCCTCCGCTCTGCAGCTGCTGCAGTTTGGTTGCCCGTCGCCTCCGGCCCCGGCCCCGCGCTCGGGGCCTTTCCGCTTGGTCCGGGGAATCAGGGTTGGCATTCTCCCCCTCCATGGGGCTTGATTCCAGCTCATCGGTGCAAGCCTCGTCCGCCATCTCCACATCCAACACCCAAACCGGCTCTTGCTGCCCTCCGCTCTGCAGCTGCTGCTGCCCTCCGCTCTGCAGCTCCCGCTGCCCTCCGCTCTGCAATTCCCGTGGAATTTGGCGGGCCCATAAGGCCAGCTCGAGGATTCGAGCTTGATAAGATCAAGGGCTGATAATGTGAATGTGAATGAAATATGTTATCCAAATGTACAGCAAAACCGAGTAAGAACATACTCTCGAGGTAGAGAAGACAAAATATTACAACATTCATTTCAAAGCCTGCCTTCCAGGCACCAACCTCCAAACTTTTGTGACAACTTCAGTCACTTTGAATCCACTCATACACTACCCCACCGCACTACACTATACCCCCCCTCCCGACCCAACAGTAAGCCAAACAAGCAAGCCTAGCATTGTTCCTCATCTTCCAACCACCACACCATACCTACAAAATCAACAGTCTACCTGCAATGGACAGAAGGGATTTCCCGTGATTCAGGCTAGTCACAAAACGACAACTGTGACTTCAACCTTACAGCTCCTCGGTGCCTCCTAACATGCAAAACAGGCTCATCATAGTCACCAAGGTGAGCTGCTGTCGTGCCACTCCTAATCATTCGTCCTAACTCATACCTGGCCAATCCAACAACCAACAGCACAACACCCTTTCCTCCTCCCATGAACCACCCCACCCCCCCCTTCACACCCTGTCCCATCACTTACCATTTTCATCACATAACTGAAGGCTACTTCAGAATCTACTAATGCTGCTAATGTCAAGAATGCACAGAAACTATACCTACTTCACAGTCTACTAATGCTGCTGCTCCACTTTCAGCTGATGCCACTCCTCTCCCCAACAGCTCCTCCTCTCTCCCTTCACCCTCCTAATAACTCTACCTCGTGAAACATCTCCTTGTCCCCTCACACCCCCCCTCCTCCCCTCCCCAATCCCTTCCTCCCCCCCCCCCCCTCCCCTCCTAAGTCCACACATCACACCTTCTTCAACTCCTGCAACCCGCCTCCTCTCTCTGCTCCATGCTCAAACACGCGCAAACCCTGCAAAGCGCTTATCGCCGTCCACTAACAACCTTGTTAAACCCCCTGACCACATCCACAATATCACCCATACGCCTCTTGCTCGAAATCTGTGCTTAGTAGCAGCCGTTGCTTGATAGCCGTGCTGAGGGGTCTGGTCTGAGCGTGTCCAAAATATCTCATCATCATGCCCCTAGTGTCACTCATGACAGCTCCAAATATGTCGCTTCCCTATCGGCGGCCGTTGATAGAGGTGTTGAGGGGCCGGAGCGTATCAACAATATCGCTCATCATGGGTCGCATGTTCGCGTCATCCTGAATGCAGTGCTTCGCCAACGTCTCCCCTCCCTCCCTCCCAATCCCCCAGCCAACTCGCAAGCACGCCTAGCGGCGGCCATTAATGGCCGTGTTGAGGGGCCGGAGCGTGTCGACAATATCGCTCATCATGGGTCGCATGTTGGTGTCGTCCTGAATGCAATGCTTGGCCGAAATCGCCAGCGTCCGAGCCACCTTCTCCGGGAACGGGTCGATCAGGTTCGGGTCGACAAGGGACTCCAGGTCCGGCCGAGCCTTGTTGAGGTACGGGCGCGCCCAGGAGGTGAGGGTCTTGGGTTTGCCCCCAGGGCTGATTCCCATTGCCTTCTTGCCTGTGAGGAGCTCTAGAAGCACCACCCCGTAGGCATACACGTCACTCTTCACTGTCAGCTGGCCTGTGGGGGTTGAGGCGTATCGATCAGAGAGAGAGGGGCAGAGAGGCAGAGACACGTGGCATGAGTGGGCGTTTCAATGCCTGTGAGGAGCTCTAGCAGCACCACCCCATAGGCATAGACGTCACTGTCAGCTGACCTGTGGGGGCAGAGACGCAACGGAGAGAGCGGGAGAGAGGCACATTGGTAGTGGCACATGTGAATGAGATCCAATCCCTGTGAGCAGCTTCAGCAGCGGCACTCCACAAGCATAGACATCATTCTTCACAGTCAGCTGGCATGTGGGGGACAGAGGCACAGGACATGAGCGGAGCCTGAGGCATTGCGATTCAATCCCTGTGAGCAGCTCTAGCAGCACCACCCCGTAGGCATACACAGCACGCCCGTCTCATCATACCCCAACCATGAGCCTACCTGTCTCAGCGTATCGTGGGTCAAGGTACCCCATGGTGCCCATAATCTGAGTCGACACGTGCGTCTGCCCTGCATCCGGCCCGTCCTTGGCCAGCCCGAAATCCGTCAGCTTCCCCGCATAGTTCTGGATAAGCACAGAGGGTCAGGGGTGGGGAGGGGTGGAGAGGGGTGGAGAGGGGTCAGAGCATCTTCAACAATCCTCAGCATCTGGCCTGTCCTTTGCCAGCCCGAAATCGGTCAGCTTCCCTGCGTAGTTCTGCACAAGCACGGTTGCAGTGGTTAGCGGTGGGGAGGGGTGGAGAGGGGTGGGAAGGGATCAGAGCACCGTTGAGGCTCCTAATCAACAGGCCCATATGTCACCAGCCCAAAATCTATCTGCTTGCCCACATAGTTCTGCACCAGCGTGATGGGGGGTTGGGAACGAGGGGAGGAGGGGGTGGAGGGGGGGTTGCGTGGGGAGGGTGGGAGAGAGGGAAGGGGAGGGGAGCGGGGAGGGGGGGGGGGGGAATTGTGTGGGGAGGGGAAGGAAGGGGGGGGGGGGGAGTGGTTTGTGAGGGGAGGGTAGGAGAGGAGTGGTGGAGGTCGTGGGGGGAGGGATCAGAGTACCGTAGCTCCTGTTTGACTGTTGCTGCCCTTCCGGTATATGTGGGACAGGTGAATTCTTCCCTGAATAAATCTTTGAAGAACGGGCAACCAGTGGGTAGGAGGAAGGAAAAGAGGGGAGGGGGGGAGGAGGGGAAGCGAGCTTGCAAGCACCTAAGGCATGCACCTCGTTCATGAGAATGTTGGGTGCCGCCACGTGAAAGAAGTGTATTTGTGACACATCTCAAAACTACACTTCGTCTTGAAGTCGCGGTAATGAGAACGAGCATGTACCTCGGCGATGAGAATGTTGGGCGCCTTAAAGTCGCGGTGAATGAAGTTGCTGGCGTGCAGATGCACCAAGCTTATCATGAGCCAGACGCACCCAGGCATACCCAGACGTATCCAGACGTACCCAGCTGCACCCAGCCGTACCCAGCCGTACCCAGACATATCCAGACGCACCCGGAAGCACCCAGACGTCGTACCTCGGCAATGAGAATATTCGGAGCCTTGAAGTCACGATGGATGAAGTTGCTGGCGTGCAGATGTGCCAAGCCACACGCCCCACCATGAGCCACACGCACCCAGGCGCACCGAGGTCTACCCAGACATACCTCAGCTATGAGGATGTTTGGAGCCTTGAAGTCACGATGAATGAAGTTGCTGGCGTGCAGATGTGCCAAGCCACAGGCAGCGTCGTGAGCAATGCGCAGACGCGCTTGCCACGGCAGAGGGTCAGCGGGCACGTTGGGGGCTGAAGGGACATGAAGGGGAGGAGGCACAAAACGAGGGTCAGAGGGACCAAGCCACACGCTGCGTCGTGAGCTATGCGTCGTGAGAAGAGAAAGCAAAGGGAAGCAGAGGGGAGAAGTGAAAGCAAAGGGAAGCAGAGTGGAGAAGTGAAAGCAAAGGGAAGCAGAGGGGAGAAGTGAAAACAAAGGGAAGCAGAGGGGAGAAGTGAAAACAAAGGGAAGCAGAGGGGAGAAGTGAAAACAAAGGGAAGCAGAGGGGAGAAGTGAAAGCAAAGGGAAGCAGAGGGGAGAAGTGAAAACAAAGGGAAGCAGAGGGGAGAAGTGAAAGCAAAGGGAAGCAGAGGGGAGAAGTGAAAACAAAGGGAAGCAGAGGGGAGAAGTGAAAGCAAAGGGAAGCAGAGGGGAGAAGTGAAAACAAAGGGAAGCAGAGGGGAGAAGTGAAGACAAAGGGAAGCAGAGGGGAGAAGTGAAAACAAAGGGAAGCAGAGGGGAGAAGTGAAAACAAAGGGAAGCAGAGGGGAGAAGTGAAAACAAAGGGAGGCAGAGGGGAGAAGTGAAAGCAAAGGGAAGCAGAGGGGAGAAGTGAAGACAAAGGGAAGCAGAGGGGAGAAGTGAAAACAAAGGGAAGCAGAGGGGAGAAGTGAAACAAAGGGAAGCAGAGGGGAGAAGTGAAAGCAAAGGGAAGCAGAGGGGAGAAGTGAAAGCAAAGGGAAGCAGAGGGGAGAAGTGAAAGCAAAGGGAAGCAGAGGGGAGAAGTGAAAGCAAAGGGAAGCAGAGGGGAGAAGTGAAAACAAAGGGAAGCAGAGAGGAGAAGTGAAAACAAAGGGAAGCAGAGGGGAGAAGTGAAAACAAAGGGAAGCAGAGGGGAGAAGTGAAAACAAAGGGAAGCAGAGGGGAGAAGTGAAAGCAAAGGGAAGCAGAGGGGAGAAGTGAAAACAAAGGGAAGCAGAGGGGAGAAGTGAAAACAAAGGGAAGCAGAGGGGAGAAGTGAAAGCAAAGGGAAGCAGAGGGGAGAAGTGAAAGCAAAGGGAAGCAGAGGGGAGAAGTGAAAGCAAAGGGAAGCAGAGGGGAGAAGTGAAAACAAAGGGAAGCAGAGGGGAGAAGTGAAAGCAAAGGGAAGCAGAGGGGAACACGGAGCGGGGCGCTAAGCCAGAGGCAGCATTGTGGCCAACACAAGGGCGCGCTTGCCACAGCAGGGAGTAAGCTGGCACGTTGGGGGCTGAGGGCGCGCGGAGGGGAGGTAGGGCAAGACGAGGTGCGCCGCGCATGAATAGAGGGGTGGGGAACATAGATAGAGGGGTTTATACGGGCGTCAAGCCACATGCAGCATCACGAGCTATGGGGTCGCCATGGCCTGGGCTCGGGGGACGTATCGCCTGCTTGTGACTGTATCGCCTGGTGACTATGCGTCCATCCTCTGTCACTACAACTCTCTCTCTCTCACCAGGCCACATGTGGTGGCTGGGACTTACCTGGCCAGAGGTGGTAGTCGAGGCTGCCTCTCGGGACGAACTCATAGACGAGAAGCATTTCCTCGAGCTCCGCGCAGTACCCTATCAGCCGCACCAGGTTCGCACCTGCCCCTCGAGTGGGCGTCCTGCGAGCTTCCCTCCCTTCTTTGGCCCTCCCTCTAACTTCCAAGTGGACTTACAAGGGAAACACCCGCATGAAACCCTACCTGGCCAGAGGTGGTAGTCGAGGCTGCCTCGGGGAACGAACTCGTAGACGAGAAGCATTTCCTCGAGCTCCGCGCAGTAGCCTATCAGCCGCACCAGGTTCGGGTGGTTCAGCTTCCCCAGCACCAGGATCTCCCTCTGTTATTCAACACGCACGCACACACACACACGCAGACATGCACACGCACAAACGAGCACACATGCACACGCACAAACAAGCACACATGCACACGCACACGAGAGCACACACGAGCACGCATGCGGCACACGATCATGCACGCGCATATGCGCATCCGCCGACACACGCACATGCGCATGCGTATGCACGAACACGCATGAAAAAGAGGAGGCGGGCGGAGGCAGGGCGGGGGGAGGGGGGAGGAAAATGAGGAAAGGAATCAATGTATCAAGGCATCCTAGCCAGCGGAAATGAACTTTCCCTGTATTGGAGTCACTTCTGAGAATTCTCAAAGGGGACTCCAATATACCTGGTCCTATTGTTCGGAAGAGCGACCTTTCACAGATGGCAGACTAAATTAAGTGATCTTGAATCGGATGACTGGAACAAGAAGCATCCAGACACAACTACGGAAACAAAATAGAGAGGAGGCGGGCGCGCGACCGCGACGAGCGGAAAAGCACGAAGGAGCGAGTATTTTAGGAAGGGAGCGGATGAGCGCGAGGCGGGGGGGGGACGGAAAGGGCCGACGCGTAGGTCAGCGGAACATGGTGGGGTGGGGGAAAAGAGAGGGAGCAAGGGGGGAGGAGGAGGGGGTGGGGGTGGGGGTGGGGAGGGCGCGCGGAAGGCGGAAAGACGAGCGCTCAAGCGATAAAATCGAGCTGAGAAATTCTTACCATCCACTCCACTTTGCTCTGGTAACCCGACGGGTTCAGCTTCTTAATCGCCACCGTCGCCGTCACAGGTGGCCCGCCTTCCACGGGAAACCGGTCCAAAACGTACCCCTTATAAACCTTCCCGAAACCCCCTTCTCCCAGCACGGAATGCTCCTGGAAATCCTCCGTCGCATCGACTAAATCCTGGTACGAATATTCCTGTAGCTCCGCCGGCTGCTCCTGATACCCGATAACACCTCCCCCGCCTGCTGCTCCCGCGGGCGCTCCGCCTCCCCAACCCCCCTGTGCGTCGTTAACCTCCTCCTCCTCGTTCACTTGTCGTAACCCGCGGGGGGGAACAGGCACAGCGGCTTGTTGGAAGCCTGGCGGAAGCGGGGGCGCTAGGTGCGGGGGCTGCTGGTAGGGATTCATAGGCGGGGGTTGCTGCTGCTGCATGTGCTGTTGTTGCATATACCTGGGGTCCTGTTGTTGCATACCGTATTGAGGGTTATACCCTTGCTGATCCGCCCCATACTGCTGCTGCTGCTGCTGCTGCTGCTGCTGTTGCTGTTGCTGCATGTACATTTGTTGTTGCTGATGCTGCATTTGCATCTGCTGCTGCTGATAGTGCATCTGCTGCTGCTGCTGCATCTGTAACTGCTGCTGCTCCTGCATTTGTTGAGCCTCGTATGCCTGCTTCTGCTGAAGAGCCTCCTGCTCTTTCTGCTGCTGCAACCGCCATTGATCCTCAGAATGCTGCTGCTGCTGCTGCTGCTGCTGCTGCTCGTGCTGCTGCTGTTGCTGCTGCTGCGGCTGGCTTCCCGCTTCTGGAGCGGGCGCACCCGCGGAAACTTTAGGCGGCTCACCGCCTAAGCAGGGAGGGGGGAAAAGAGGGGGGGACAACTGAGTAAATATTTTCCATTTTTAAATCGATTCAAACCGCACCCGCGGAAACCTGAGGCGGCTCACTGCCTAAGCAGGAGAATGGGAAATAGATGAGTGAAAACGGTGTCCTTTGAGTCGACACGAAATACACTCGCGGAAACTTTAGGCAGCTCACCGCAGTTGCAGGGATAAAACGGATGGATGGAAAAAGAAATGGTCGGAGTGAAATGAGAACTGAGCGGATCGAAAGTCGAAGAGACGTAGAGGGTAAGCGTTTTTAAGTCGGTTTTTTTCTACATATATAAAATGCTAACTGATACAACGAAAGTACCTCGCCTCGGGGGCTCCACGACTACCTTTACAGGTGGTTGTGAAATTTGTTCATCGTGATTGACGGTTAGCCGACTATATGACAATGATAACAGTGAACTTGCGAACGGACTAAAAACGGGAAGGAGGCGATGTAATCACTCGTAACGTAATATAAGAGCTAAAAGTACGGCATTACGTTCGTCGCACTTAAATTACCCCCATTTTACGCACAAATCGCAAGTCGGCACGTAAACTGATAAGAAGAGGGGAAATAAGGCAATGCAATCCTAGCCAATAGCGGCTCACCTGAAAGGGGTGCGTTACTATTGGGTCTTCGCTCCTCTTTCGTCGCCTTCTCGCTAGATAAGCACCCACCCATAGGTCCACCTGCCTCGCTGGCCCAGCAGTTAATACGGCCTTAACAACTACCCATGGGTCTGCTGTGCAAATAGGGTTACGCGACTCTACGCAAGCACTGGAGAACTCAGTCTCAGCTGAACACTGGCAATTAGGTGCGCCTTACAGATGATTTTATTATAATAATAATAAAAGTTGCGAAGCGTAGAGACTTTGTCTCAGGGAAGGCGAACTAAAGAACGCGCATTTAGTGATCAAGACGTGAGACCTGAAAGTGAGGGAGGAAGAGCGGATGATAACGCAATGCGGGTTACTCTTTGAATATTAGAGAACCAGCCAAGGTTCAGAATACTGTTACGGTGATGTAAGGCGGTGTCCTAAGTTCTAACTACGGGGTGGGCGAGGCGAGGCGAAGCGAGGTGAGCATGGAATAATCAGAGTTGGTGTGGGTGTGGAAGGGAAGGAAGGACCGCCATGGCTGAGACTGAAGGGGGGAAAAGCTGGGCTGGCTGGCAGGGCGATTGGGGTAAGGGGGGAAGGGGGGAAGTAGGGCCGGGGAGATGGAGAGCGGGGACGGGGGAATGGGTAAGGGGGAGTAGGGGTTGGCGTGGAGATGCGGAAGAGGGTGCTGGAGCTGTTGCGTGGGGAGGGGGAGTGCTTGGCGGTTGGTCCCTAGAAGTTGGTTGAAGGTGACAGGGATTGGCGGAAAGTGGCCCTGCGAAGACGGGGCGGAAGCACTGGATGTGTATGCGGGGAAGACGTACTGAACTGTTCTCTCCGCCTTTGCCTTGTACAGTTGTGGAGGACTTCAGAACAGCGGGACTGGTAGGAGGGCGCGGCGCAAACTGGAGACTTGGTCCGAAGCTGCTGGTTTGGCGCCGATGGTTGGGAATCAAGTGCTACCGAGCCTCGGGTATTAGTTCGACAAGTTCTAACTGATGACTGTAACGCGTGGCAAGGCAGCGTTGTTGGTTTGGAAAGGACCCACGCTTTGCCCGTCCAAACAGTTTCTGAGCCCGTGTCTCAATAAATCGAATCGGTACAGTTATTTCTTCGACAATTTGAGTGTTTCAACATATTCTTGATACGCAAGCTGAGTATTTCGTCAGACCTAGGCTTCGATCAAAGATTGTGATTGGCGCGCTAAGGAATGTCGAGAAAATTCCTTACACTACCCCCCTCCTCAAGAAGCCCCCTCCGCTACGCGAGTGCGTGTATATCGCGGAAACCCCGGAACCTCAGGTACACTTGCAGGGCAGGGTGGTTTTCGATGTTGGCCAGGGGCACCCAGCTATCCTCAGTTGGCGTGCGGTCCTTCCAGCGAACGAGGAATTCAATCCTCCTGATTCCCGTGTGTCAGAATGCTGTATTTGTCTAGCCTGCAGTGGGGTACTCTATAGCGAGTACATCCCAATTTAGGGTTTCCTATATGTACTCAACTGCTTGCTAGTGCAACCCCTCTTTCGTGTTCTATCTTTCTGCCTACTATCTTCGACATGCTATCAGAGCGGTTACGCTCCTAGCATGTGGACCCACCGTTAGCTTCCGCTGCTAACCTGTCTGTCACGCGCCCCGTGGCGCGCGGCGTTTTTTTCTTCCCGCCACGCGCTCGAGGCGCATGGCGGTTTTCTGCCCGCCGAGCGCTCGGGGCGCGCGGCGGTTTTCTGCCCGCCGTGCGCCCCGAGGCGCGCGGCGGTTTCCTGCCCCGTCGACCAGCGCGTCGCCCCCCGTCGCCCGTCGAAGCGCCCCCCGGGGACCTGCGCGTCGCCCCCCGTCGCCCGTCGAAGCGCCCCTGTGCCCCGCACGCGGCCCGTACAACCTGCGCGCGGCCCGTACGACCTGCGCCAGGCCCGCGCGCGGCCCGTACAGCTCGCGCGCGGCCCGTACGGCCTGCGCCAGGCCCGCGAGTGGCCCGTACAGCCTGCGCGCGGCCCGTACGCCCTGCGCCAGGCCCGCGCGCGACCCGTACAGCCCGCGTGCGGCCCGTACGGCCTGCGCCAGGCCCATGCGCGGCCCGTTCAGCCTGCTCCAGGCCCGCGCGCTCCTGCCCTGCCGTGCGTGCACCCGCTTGTGACAAGGTTGTCCATAGGAGCAACGGACCCACTGGCGACTGGTGCAACAGGCTCACTGGCTACCGAAGCAAGGGCGACGGACTACAGGCGCTGCAGGCGACACGACAGCTACCTCCACACAACCTCCTCCAACTGACCCACACCCTTGACACACACCCCCTGCTGAACCCCTAACTCCACTCCCACGTCACCCCCCTAGCACCACTCCTTCGGCTCCCACACACCCACCCCCCTGAGCGGCAGCTGCAGCAGCGGGAGACGGAGGAGGAGGAGGAGCAGGGGACGGCGCACACAACCGGCACCCCCACAACCGTCACCCCCACACTCCCCACCCCCAAACCCTAAAACGGGTGGCACGGGGTAGGAGCGCGGGGGACGGCGAGGGGGACGGCGCGCGGCCCCCAGGGCGCCACCACGGGGCAGCGAGGGGGGGCCGCGCGCGGCGCCAGGGGTGGCGCGCGGCTCCAGGGGTGACGTGCGGCCCCCAGGGCGCCACCACGCAAGCGGGCGAGGTACGCGAACAGGATACTTAGAGCTGCGAAATTGCTGCACATGGAGCCCCTCCCTTCAAGAATTCTTGAATTCCTCAGACACTGGCTTCTCTGCTGCATGGCCATTTCTTCATTGCAGATGCGTATTTTCCCTAGACGCCTCATAATCACGCAGGCATACTCGCATCTGTGTTTGTCCATAAGTATTGCGTGCTCGTCTATTTTAACCTAAGCTTCGTGGTTGTTTTCCTGGGTTTCCTGATTACGGCATCGCACAGCTCGTCAAATCCCGCCTCAGATGACCACTTCCGAGGCGGTCTTAGCTCTGGTTAGAGCGTATCGACCGAGATTCACTTCCAAACAAGATAGCGTTGCGTTTGCGATCCATGCGACGTTCCTGTCATCTGGATTTAGGTGCCTTGCTGTCGGCCCTGACGCCGCTGAGGTAGCTGCAGGTGAGAAGACGAAAAGGGGCTCATGAGCTTTGGCGGACAGATTTCCTCGTGTGTTTCCTCTAAGGCCACGCTGAGGCTCTCTGTAATCATTTTCTATTCTTTGTGGTTTACGGTCTCTGAGTTTCTTGATGATGGCAGGGTCGAAGGATGTAGATTTAAACGCGGATGCTGGAATTGAAGGTTGGAACACAGTTCCAGGTGTTTATAATTTCGCCTATGCTCACGAGAGCACATCAGCCGAAGCAGCCAGCGTAGAGCAGACTAGTATAGCAGGGAAAGTGGTGGTGGTTCAGTGCTTACCTGTTGCAGACGGGGGGCTTCTTATGGTGGATGCAACACCGATGGTTGGAGCAGTTACATCAGCGGCAGGAGGGGCTTCATCTTCTGTCTCTCATCTTGAAATCAGGTTTGTGAACTTCCAATATTGTATATTACTTTCTTCTCTATCACATCTTCTAGCTTATCATCTTCTTGACTTCGTTCTCTGACTGTTTCCACTCTCCAGGGTCTCTGAGCATACGTCAGCAGACACCCCTTCGACGTCAACTGACTACAGTAAAATCTTTACTAATCTTCCGGCACTGGTATCGTCCATCTCATCAGCCATCATCGAGCCCTTGACTTCCAGCATCACCTCTGGCACTCCTGCTGGGACGGCTGCTGGTGCTGGTGCTGGTGCTGCTACGGCAGCACAGCCTACTTCCACAGGCACAGCAGGACAGGAATCAGTGAGAAGCTCAGGGAGAGAGGGAGAGCGAGCAGGAGGGGTACATTTTGAGGAACCTGAGCGTGGCTCGGTTGGTGGGGTGGGGGGAGGGGAAGGAATTGTTTACCCTCCCATTCCTGCAGGGCCACCGTATGATGACCTGCATCCAGGAGGGGGAGCTGGGATCATGCCTTCAAGGTAGAGATTCGTAGGCCAGTCCTCGTTTGCTTTCTTTTTATGTGTTTTCTTCATTGTGGTACTCACCCTGATTGCGTTTGCGAACGCCTTTTTTGTGTGTTACAGACCTGGGTTCGGTGGAGGAAGCATGCTTGTAGGTATGTACTATATTCCAATGCAGGGATGCCCTCGTGAAGGCAGGTGTCAGCGCATGCGTCGGTGCTCCCATACCACTTTTGCGCTTCTTATTTCTATTCTTTCTCTGTGATGTGCAGGGCCTCATGATCCAAGGTGGGGCCCAACGTTTCCAGGAGGAGTTGGAGGAATGGGACCCTTGCCTCCGTAAGCTTCCATCCCTACACCTTTTCCTACATGCATGTTCCTTGGGATGTCTGGGCTGATTTTTCCTCTTGTTGGTGCCACTTTGCATTTGGGACTGTGATTATGTTGTTTTGTGTGCTTTCAGAGGAATGCCACCAGGGGCCCGCTTTGATCCGTTTGGTCCTCCAGGCATCCCGGGCTTCGAGCCCGGCAGATTCGGGTAAGCACGTCACTATCTGCTCGAGTAGATACTGAGTGATTTTGACATGATGCCAATATTACCGGTAACTTTCATGAAAACAACGCACACTCATATGCAGCCATACAAGCATGTACATGCAAAGCTGCTAGTCATCCCCCTTCCTGTTTGGATATCCTTCAATTATATGTACTCTTTTCACGCAGGGAAGAACGCCCAAGGCCTAGAAGTCCTCCTGGTGGAGGGGTTCATCCTGACATGCAACATTTTCCAGGCTCAGATGATTTCCTCTAGATTTTAGGTTACCTCCATTTCCTTGTACCTAGAAGTATCGTTTACACTCTGGTTGTTTTTTAACATCTTCTGGACTCAGTTTAATGGAGTGCGCTGGCACAATTTCTAAACAATCTAATTTACAAACGTGTGACACACTGAAAGCATGCCTGGGAGTTAATCCCAAGCGTTTTAGCATACAATTAGTAACATGAATATTTTTAAAATTGTAACGCTTTTCAAAATTTCGTATTTTGAAAGCGAAGCAGTCTGTAATGTAGGAATGGGCAGCGACGAACCGCGCTAAACGCCCGTTTTGGAGTACAAAACGTGGGCTGGAGGTCATTTCCCTCCACCCACGTCTCTCATTTTCAAACGGTTTAGCCGATTTTCGTCTCCCACACTCAAGCTGGCGAGGACCAAGTCTCTTCCTCGCTTTCAATCCCCGTCGACTTTACTCTCTGACATTTTCGCGCACAACGCAACAACTATGGCACTTAACGGCGGGGAGTCTAATACCGCTACGGCCCCCACTCCACCCGAGTCCGCAAGAAACGCACGCGAAATCGCGGGCGATCGCCCAAACAAGCGCCGGGCAGAAGACGGGGAAATTTCCCCGACTGGCGTCGACGTCCTGCTGGGCGCGACCGAGGCACACGCTGCTGGTGTCGAGGCACACGCTCCTGGTGTGCCTCGAGCCCCTGTGGCCCCTGACGCGCCGGCCACGACAGAAGGCGCCAAATCGGCACCAACCAGCGCGGCTGGCACCCCGCGTCCGCGCCAGCGACGCAGGCCTGTGGGCCCTGACGCGCCTGTGGGGCCTCACGCGCAAGTGGCGACAGGCGCGCAAGTGGCGCCATCATTCACTGCAGCCCAACTGCAGCAGCTGCTGACCCTGTTACAGCAGCAGACCCCTGCTGTTACTGAAGAAATCGCTACACCAAACGCAACTTCGGTTTCTGCTAAAAGCGAAAAGGCGAAAACGGAGTCCGTGAAGCGCGCTCGCACGACAAAAACCGGAAGGGGCGAGGACACACGCGCCATTGCGACCCCAGTCATGAACAACCCCACCGACAGCGACAATGAAGAAGACGAAGACGGTGAGGCTCATGCTATAAGTGTCGCTTTTGCATCCGATGAGCAACTCCCTCCGCTCCCTTCTCCCAACCCCACCCTCACCGCCGCCTCGTTCAAGAACGCCGCCGTGCGCGAGCAAGCCGAGGTCCTGGAACACCTGCGGGTGTACTTGAAGCATGCAGAGCACAAGGTGCAGCACAACGAGCCGGCAAGCGCCCTCGAATTCCTTGGCGAAGCCTTCACGCTCATCACCAACCGCTTCAAGTTACTTCACGTCGCCGACTACACCAACTTCCGTACCGCAAACAGGTTCAAGCTCTATGAAGACAAGAGCGTCTTCACTTCTCGCCCGTTCAAGCAGGCCGTCGCGGACGTAGCGGCCATGGAGCGCGCCCAAGGAAATTTCAATCGCACCCCACGCGGCGGAGGGCGTGGGCCCATGGCCTTTGGGAACAAGCGTGGCCCGCCAAGTGATGGCAACGGCAGGAGCTTTCGAGGCTCTTGCTACCGCTGCGGGCAGCCAGGCCACATGGCCAACGCTTGCCCTGAAAATGGGGCGGGAGCCCAAGGGCCCGCACCGGTGGTGTGAACTCCCGAAAGGGCAATCACCCGGTGTCGAGGGGCATGATCAAGGTAGCACTAGGGAGTGCAAGGCCGCTGGCCGTTTTCCCGTAGGGGATGGTAGAATGGCCGCGGGCCAACCCCAAGGCAAGGGGATAGGACTAGGAGTCCTAGAGTAAAGCATTTAATAAAATGGTGGATTTCTTGTGTGCATTATTGAGGGCTCGGAATGCATAATGGGCTATGTTTGTGAAAACGGTGATTTTTTGTGTGACTTACTAAGGCCCTTGGTTTCAACGTGTGTAAGAAGCTGCAACGGGAGCAGCCACAAGCCTCTGAAAAAAAAAAAAAAAAAAACCAGAGAATAAGAGCAAGAGAGAGAAAGAGGGAAACAAGCGAGAGAGAAAACTACGAAGGGAGGGAGTTTTTGTTCCCACTAAGCCAGGAGCCCGAGACGCAAGGCAAGGTTTCCATGGTCTTAAGAAGGGGACGGCAGCAAGGACGGCTATCCAACGAATCTGGAGAACGGCAAGCATGATCATGCAAAAAAAAAAAAAAAAAAAAAAAAAAGAGGGGGAAGGAAGGAAGAGCGCGAGCGAGATGTTCACCGTGATGAGCTCACCGAGCAAAAGAAGGAGCTGCCCTACGAGCACCACATGTTAGGCACAGGGCGGAACACCCAAGTGCATGCAATCAGGCAAAAGGACTCATGAAAAAAAAAAAAAAAAAAAAAAAATCAACCACAACAACGAGAGAGAAAGGAAGAGAGAGAAAAAGAGAGAGCGAGAGTGAGAACCTCACGGGGGACCTACATTGCCGCATACCTTGCTTAACGAAGCATGTCCCATGCTGCCCCGAACCCCATGGTCCACAGATACACCGGGTATCGGCTCGATGGTTGAGTATGACCCGTACGAGATCGCGATCACCGACAAGCTCGTCACGACCATGCGCGGACGCCTGCGCGCAGCATTTCCTTGGTGGAGCTCATGGTGCGAGAGTAGCTTCATACTCTCGGTGGTTTTAAATGGCTATTGGATGCCATGAAAGCATGGCCCCCCCACGCCGTTTCAGAAAGACAACCACGCGGGAGCACTAATCCACTCAAAGTTCACCAAGCAGGCCATAATCGAGCTCCTTGATAGTGGTGCGGCCATTATCGCCCCCGGATCCCAACAGCTCTGCATCAGTCCACTAAATGTGGTGGTTCAAAGAGACAAGTGCCGACTGATTCTTGACCTCAGAAGAGTAAACCAAAATCTGAGCATCCCCAAATTCAAGTACGAGGGATTGAAACGGGTGGCGGAGCTCGTCAGCATAGGCGATTGGATGTTCGTTGTCGACCTCAAATCAGGATACCACCACGTCGACATCCATCCGTCATGCTGGAAGTACCTGGGATTCCAATTTGACGGGCGCTCATACGTCTTTCGGTCCCTCCCTTTCGGCCTCGCGACGGCCCCATTTGTATTCACGCAACTTATCAAGCAGCTCGCCCGCCGCTGGCGGGCCCTCGGGGTACGAGTCATCCCGTACGTTGACGACATCATATTTTTGTGTCACACGGAAGCAGAGGCTCGAACTACGTGTCAGATGGTGGTGGAGGACCTCAACAAGGCGGGGCTAGTCATTAATTCTAAGAAGTCGCATCTCCAACCCACCCAGCAGCTGCGCTTTCTGGGTGTCGAACTGGATACTAAGCACGGCCAGTTCTCCATTGGTCCCGAGCGGCGTACATCGTTACGCTCGACCATTCAAGAACTTTGCATGGCAGGCAGAGCCAAGCGCAAGGTCCCGATCCGCCATGTAGCGAGGGTCACTGGCATGCTCGCTTCGATGTCACTTGCCATCGGCGCAACTGCGCGGACATTTAGCCAGAACCTGCTGCAGACCATTCAGGAGGCCGCTTCATGGAACAGCAAGGTGCCATTAGTCCCCGCCGTAATCGAGGAACTCGAGTTTTGGCTGCAAGGATTCGACAACTTCAATGGCGCCTCCTTCCACGTCCCGAGCAGCTACGACGCAGTGATCCATGTGGACGCCAGCGCACACAGTTGGGGAGCCACACTAGACACGTTCCCGGGAGGGCGAACCGAGGCGAATGCAGCAATGCCCGAGCATCTCACAAGGACCTCGAGCACGCAACGAGAAATGGAAGGAGTTCTATGGGCTCTCCAAACGTTCGCGGGAGGGATCCACAACCGACACGTCCTAGCCAGAACTGACAACCAAGGCGTATTCTTCATTCTTCGCAAAGGCGGCTCTCGAAGCCCTAGTCTCACCACAACATGCAGAGCCATTATTCAAACGTGCATGGCCTCGAGGATTCGCCTGACGGTCGAATGGATCCCACGCGAGCTCAACACACGAGCGGACGAACTCTCCAAGATGATCGATCGAGATGACTACTCAATTAAAGCACCGTGGTTCCGCCTCATTGAGCGGCATTTGGGACCGCACTCCATCGATCTATTCGCCAATGCAAGCAACACACAGTTAGCCCGCTTCTGTTCCAAAACACCTCACCCGGACGCAGAGGCTACCGACGCCTTCTCAATATCATGGAACGCTGAGCACGGTTATGCTTTCCCACCACCACACCTCATCCCAGCAGTGCTTCACCACGCCCAACGGACGCGAGCATCGCTCATGCTCGTAGTGCCTCATTGGCCAGGGGCAAGCTGGTGGCCGTTGCTACAAACCACCCCACCGAAGTGGGCCCCTTGCATTCGCGCTCACATCCACCTCACCCATGGGAGTCAGTGCCTCACCGCGGGCACCCACACTTGTGCCTTCTCTGGCGAAAGAATGCCTCATAGCCCTATTCTCGCTTTACGAGTGTCGTTCGCTACCTGACCTCTCACGAACCTGGTGCAGGATTACTTGAGAGGCTCAAGCAAGAATTGCTCCGTATAACTGCGCAAACACGGGCCGACTCTACGATTCGCACCTACGAGCCGTACTGGGCCAAGTTCCGCACGTTCTGCCAACGAGTCAAGCTACAGTTTCTGCCATGCACAGACATGACGCTCGCGTTATACCTGGTCCATGCGATTCAGCAAAAAGCCACAGTATCAGTGATACAACTGACATGCTCGACAGTCAGCTTCGCACATCGGATGATCGGGGCCCCGTGCCCATCAACTGGGTCGTTCACATCCCAAGTGCGGGAATTCGCCAAGCGACATTGCCCGCGCCCCCGACGACTCAAAGAGCCCATCTCTTTGCACCAAGTCTACGAAATGGCGTCGGAATACCTGGAGTCAAACAACCCTGGCGAGTTCCAGAAGGGACTTATCCCAATCCTAATGTACGCCGGCTTTCTACGCTACTCGGACCTCGTCGAAATTAAGTGGCACGACATCCAGTTCGAGGAAGACGCCATGTGGCTCTTTATTCCCCGCTCAAAGACTGACCAGGCAGGAGAAGGTGCATGGGTTCCAGTAGCAGCAAGCTCAGGTCCCTTCTGCCCCGTACGGTGCACCAAGCGCTTCATCCAATTGGCGGGATACAACCATGCACAAAGAGGCCCGCTCATACGAGTTTTCGGTCAAGACACCACGAGTCTCGGCACTGCCGCCACTTCACCATCCTACACAACAATCCGCAACTGGTGCAAGGAGGCATTCCAAAAGATCGGCTTAGGTCTCGAGCATCTCGGCACCCACTCTTTTCGCAAAGGCGCAGCCACTGCCGCCGCCAACTCAGGAGTACCAGATCGCTTTTTGAAACAGTTGGGACGGTGGCGCAGCGATACTGCCAAGGAGATGTACATCACCCCGGCGGTCGATCAGCTGGTCGAAGCGTCTCGACACGTTCAAGACCCGGCACGAGCCTCGTCACCAGTGCAACACTCAGCGGCTCTGATGCGACGACGACAACCTCCACTGCACATGTCTCAGAAGACCCATTTGAAATGAGACGATGCCATTGCTACATGAAAGAAAGCAAGCTTTCTAAATGGTATGATCACTTAATCTGGGAGATCAGATCCGCCACCTTGTCGGACAGCTCTTTACGGGAAGCCTGCAGTGCAAGAAGACCAGAGATGTTAGCTCGAGAAAGTAGCTAATACCATAACGATACTTTTTTCTCGACGGCGACAACTGACCTCGAATAGCAAGTAGCGGTAGGCGAACCATCCAGTGTACACGGTTCCAACGAGCTTCAAGAAGCCTGGAACCTGCAGTGTGGAACCTGAGAGATTATGCACCAAAGAATAGGCGAAACACGCTTTGATACACGAGGAATGACGGCCACGCCGCCAACTGTAGGGTGTAAGATTCTCACCAGCGGGATGCTGTCGATAGCACCCAGGATTGCAGATGTTATCCATAAACCAAGAACGGCTCCACCAGCATACAGAGCCACCTAAGGCTTGTTCTCAACTGTTTCCCACTGCATCACCAATTAAGAGTTCGCGTTTTAGAAATCGTCCAACAAAGAGGCGGAATTTGGAACAGAATGAGGAGAATAGCGGCAAAGAAAAACCTTGGATTTGGCAACGTCGACGAGTTCAGTCGCCTTCTCCTTGTACTCCTCCACTTGAGGCGAAGTGGCCTTCACCGCGAGCTTGCGTTTTCCCGCAACACCTGCAATTAGTCACCCATTCGTGAGCCTTTGTGTAAGTCTTCTTCGTGAATCCAATTCTCGTAATACCAGAAGAGAATAATTTATTGAAGACATCTTACTTGTCCTAGAGAGCCTGGAGAATGAGGCTAGAGCGGGAGTCCGAGAGGAAGCGACCCCATTCCGCGACGCGGAAAGTTTCAGTGTAACGCTTGCGGACGCAGCAGCGACAGCAACGGCGGCCATCGTTCTCAAGCCTCAACAACGAATTGTTGTCAAATGGAAGGTACAGGCTGGATAATATTGGAGATCTAAGACTTGTAATGTTGCTGATTGTGTGTCATATAAATTCTATGAGGATGGCCATGAGGTGAAGAACACTGACAGCTGCTGGCTGTTGAGGCAGCGCATCTGAAATTCGGCTTGTTCTGTGATTCCTGTCTAGAATCGCTAAAAGCGTCTCTGATTTGCTCATCCAACCGTGTTGAAGAGATTCCGTAACTCTCAGGAACCACCGAGATTGCCGCGCCGCACGAGCCTGACTCACCAGCGCCTAGCACGGAGATCTTTGTCCCTCCGATGTGGCAGTTTTCGTTGCACCTGACACGCCATCAAGAGTTCCTATTCGTCAAAACAATACCTGTTCGATCACCGTTATGCTGTTCACCAGTCGACTACACTTGGAATTATAAATCCCTATTTAGAGCGACGGTGTCAATTATAACGCGATAAATTCGATCAATAGAGTTGCAATCAACATTTGCTCTTTCTTATCAACTCAGAAAATGTGTCTAATATCGAAGTGCCTTGAAGTGGACCAGCACCACCATCTTTCCTACCTGGAAACCCCCTAATCAAGATTTAGGGCATAAACGAGGTGGACAGAAAAACCTCGACTTGTTTCAAGGAACTACGTTCCCAGTGTTGTCGAGGTCCAGTTAGCCATGAAAGGCGGTCGCGGAGGCACACGCGCGCGAGGCGACACAACAAAGCTTGGGTCGCGAGGGGCAGCAAAAGGCAGCGCGAGCGGCAAAGGGGATGGATTCGCGGGGAAGAATAAGGGAGCAGTGAGCGGTAAAAGGCGTGGAAATTCGCGGCGAGGGGGGGTAGGAAAGCCGTTTCGGGAAGGCGGGGGGAAGGTAATTGGTGGAGGGAAGATGATGCGCGGAGGCAGGTTGAATTTCAGCATGGTGAAATGGAAGGATGTGACCCCAGTGGCAGGGACGCACATGCTCATGGACCCGCGCAACCCCGCCGCGGGAGGTACGCCAGAATGCCACCCCCTCGGTGACCCTCTCCCTGACCCCGATCGTCAATCCTTACTGACCTTCTCGATTCCCCTCTTGCTTCCCGATTTTTTTCTTCTTCTTCTTCTCAAGATTGCAACCGTTTCATAGTCTCAGCCCCACTCTGACAGTTTACTTTTCGTCTGTAAACCTCCCGAACCCTCTTCTCGCCTCTCTTTCCTATCCGCCACTTCCCGCCGCCATCTCTCCCCGTGTTCCACCATCTCCTCCCATTTTTCGCCACCTTCCATCTCGCCCATTTTTCATCCATCTTCCCCCGACTCCCCCAATTTTCCGCCAACTCCGCCCCGCCAGGCTTCTTGGGGCTGGAGGAGATCGACCCGGCGGAGTTTGAGGGATTGGTGGCTGGCGGAGAGATGGAGGGCGGGGGAGACCAGGTCCGCCATCTCCCCTCATCTCCCCCCATTTTCGCTCGTTTTTCCCCCATCTTCCCCCCGCCAGGCTTCATGGGGCTGGAGGAAATTGACCCGGCAGAGTTTGAGGGATTGGTGGCTGGCGGAGAGATGGAGGGCGGGGGGGACCAGGCTGGCGGAGCAATGGAGGGCGGAGATTTGGAGGGCGGGGAAATGGAGGGCGGGGGAGAATCGGGGGAAGAAGGCGCCGGGGAGGAGCCTGGAGATGGGGATGTTGAGGCGGACGGGGGAGAAAGTGGAACCGGGTTGGGAGACGAGGGGGTAGGGGACAGGGTTTTAGAGGAAGGTTCAACGGAGGAGGTGGAGGGGAAGGGTAAGATGAGCAAGAGCAAGCGGCGGAAGCTGCAGCGGAAGCAGCTGAAGAAGGCTCTGAAGGGGGGGGGGCGGGGTGAGAAGAGCAAGGGCGCAGGAGAGAAGCGAGAGGAGGGTAAGGAGGAGGGAGACGAGAAGGAGAGGGAGGAGGGAGAGGAAAGAGAGGATGGAGAGGATAGAGAGGAGGGAGAGGAGGGGGAAGAGGAGGAAGGGGAGGAGGGAGAGGAAGATGGGGAGAGTGATGGGGAGGGGACGGGAGGAGAAGCAGTGGAGGAGAGAGAAGGAGCAGAGGGAGAAGGTGAGGAGAGAGAAGAGGACATAGACATGCCGGAATGGGACCGCCTCCGTCTGCACCCCCTCATTCTCCGCGCCCTCAACGACCTCGGGTTCACCTCCCCCACGCCCATTCAGCGCGCCTGCATCCCCGCTGCTGCGTCTAGAGGCAGGGATGTTGTGGGGGCGGCTGAAACTGGGTCGGGTAAGACCCTCGCGTTTGCTATCCCGATTCTGCAGAGGCTGCTGGATGAAAGGGAGAAGGAGAGACGGTTGAAGGACGGGGGCGGGGCGTGGGGGGAAGAGGGGGAAGGGGAAGGGGAGGGGGCGGACGGGGAAGGAGTTGGGGAGGCAGAAGGGAATGAGGGCGCGGGGAGTGATAGGGTTGGGGAGGAGCAGAGTCGGGAAGGGGAAGGGGGAGGGGAGGTAGGAGGGGAGGGGGAAGGGGAGGGGGTGGGGAAGACGGGGGGAAAGGCGGCGGGCGGCGGGGTTCGGAAGAGAGTGAGGGGGCCGCTGCGAGCGCTCATCATCACTCCCACGCGCGAGCTGGCTCTGCAGATTGTATCGCACATAAAAGACGCGGCCCGCCACACGGGCATCCACGTGGCCGGCATTGTGGGCGGCATGGCGGAGGTGAAGCAGAAAAGAGTGCTGAGCCTCGGGCCGCAGATTGTGGTCGGCACGCCCGGGCGGCTGTGGGAGCTCATGAGCCAAGGGGAGGCGCATCTGGTGCAGGTAATACTGTCAACTTGTGATGTGACTGTGTGTCCCTGTGTGTTCTGTGTGTGTCTGCCTACATGTAGAGCGGCTGGTGAAGTGAAGGTGCACAGAACACACAGCTGCATGCATGTATCTACCCCCCCCCACCCCTCCATCCTCTCCCCACTGCAGTTGGAGTATCTCTCCTTTCTCGTGCTTGACGAGGCTGACCGCATGGCCGACCCAGGAAGGTTCAAGGAGCTTTCCTCCATCTTGGGAATGCTGCCCCCCACTGCGGCTTCTCTTGCTGCTGCCAATGCCAAGGAAGCGGCTTTGGCAGCCCGAGATGCTGCTCGGGCAGCCAAAAAGGCGGCTAGGGCAGCTAGAATTGCTGAGGAGAGGGACGCGGCGAGAGGAAAGAAAGGAAAGGGGAAAGCGGGGATGGAAAATGCTGAAAAGGAAGGGAAAGGAGAGGAAGAGGAGGTGGAAAAGGAGGAGAAAGAGGAGGAGATTAAAGCGGAGAGGGGAGGAGAAGAAGGAGAAGAAGGTAAGGAGGATGGGGAGGAGGGAGAAGTGGGAGAAGAGGGAGAAGCAGGAGAAGGAGAAGGAGGAGGAGAGGAAGTGTTTTCTCTCCAGCCACCCACCCTTGCGAAAAAGAAGCGGCAAGTTCTGGTCTTCTCCGCAACCCTCGTTCTGCCCGACGACACGCGCGGGCAGCTGCAAGGAAAAAAGCGAACGCCAGGAGGACCCGGGGCAGCAGATAGACGGACTGGGAGGAAGAGAGAGAGGGAGGGAGCGCAGGGGGGAGAGGAGGGAGGGGAGGATGAGGGGGAGAAGGAGAGGGAGAAGGGGTTGGAGAGGGATAGGGTGGTTGCGGGACTAATGGAGCTGACTGGCATGCGGCCGTCCCCTGCCATTGTGGATTTGACCACGGCTGATGTGGTGGCGAGCGGCGTGCAAGAAGCTGTTCTGGAGTGAGTGCAATCGAATCAGTGTGTGTGTGTGATGTGTGATGTGGTCTACAACACTCTAGAAAGGTTTAGGGTGGTGGCGGCACTTATGGAGTTGACTGGCATGCGGCCGTCCCCTGCCATTGTTGATCTGACTACTGCTGATGTGGTGGCGAGCGGGGTGCAAGAAGCTGTGGAGTGAGTTTGGTTTTCCTGGTGAATATATTGAACAGTGCGTGCGTGCATGTGAGAGATGAGAAAGACAGAGAGGCAGATAGCAGTGCAGCCGTCCCCTGCGATTGTGGATCTCACCACTGCTGATGTGGTGGCCAGTGGGGTTCAAGAAGCTGCTCTAGAGTGAGTGCATGCAAACTGATCAGTGCGTGCGTGAGAGGAGGGAGTGCAATCGTCCCCTGCCATTGTGGATCTCACCACGGCTGATGTGTTGGCCAGTGGCGTGCAAGAAGCGGCATTGGAGTGAGTGTGTAAACTGATTAGTGCTGGTGTGCTGTGGTCTAGAGGGGTGTAGAGTGGTGACAGGTGCTATTTTGCAGCTGACTGGCATGCGGCGTCCCCTGCCATTGTGGATCTCACCACTGCTGATGTGTTGACCAGTGGCGAGATCAGTGGCGTGCAGGAAGAGTAAGTGCACGAGAGGGGGCAGTACTGTTGTCCCTTGTGCATGCAAACTGATCAATGCCATTGTGGATTCGACCCCCTTATGCCCTGTTCTGCCCCTACTGACTCTGTTTCATACTCTCTGCCTCCCCTCTCTCCCAGGTGTGACGACAGCATGAGGGACGTCTTTCTCCTCTACCTGCTCCGCATGCACGGCACCTTTGGTCGCACTCTTGTCTTCTGCTCCGCCATCTCGTCTGTTCGCCGCCTCGCCTCCCTGCTGTCCCTCCTGCAAGTAAGACGCCCTTCTCCTCTGTTACCCGCTGCAATTAAGCTTCCGGGTTTTTCTTCCCTTCTCTCCCTGCAGCCCTCTCCAACCATCTCCTTTCATTTCTCAGACAATTTTCGCATCCCTTCTATCTGCTTACTCTGGCCCTTTCCCTGCTGTCCCCTCAGGTGCCCTCCTTCCCCCTCCTCCTCGCGCAGCAGCAGCAGTGGCAGCGTCTCAAGGCCTTGGACCGTTTCAAGCAGCACGTGTTGCTTCCTGCTCCTCTCCTCCTCAATCTCTTCGGCCTCTCTTCTTACTTACATCCTCACTCGTGCCCTCTTTCTCCCTCCGCCCAGGTGCCCTCCTTTCCTCTGCACGCGCAGCAGCAGCAGCGGCAGCGTCTCAAGGCGTTGGACCGCTTCAAGCAGCATCCAAGTGGCGTGCTGGTGGCAACAGACGTGGCAGCACGAGGACTCGACGTTCCCGAGGTGAGTGCAAACTGTTATGAGGCGATTTTATGAGGTGAGTGCAAAAATCGCCTCATCACACGAGGTGAGTGCAAAAATCGCCTCATCACACGAGGTGAGTGCAAAAATCGCCTCATCACACGAGGTGAGTGCAAAAATCGCCTCATCACACGAGGTGAGTGCAAACTGTTTCTTCTCCACCGTCTCCACCGTCTCCACCGTCTCCACCGTCTCCACCGTCTCCACCGTCTCCACCGTCTCCACCGTCTCCACCGTCTCCACCGTCTCCACCGTCTCCAGCGTCATGAAGTTCTAGCGCCTCTAAAGGCGCTGGACCGCTTCAAGCAGCATCCCAGTGGCGTGCTGGTGGCGGCTGATGTGTGTTCCAGAGATGGGTGGGTTCTGGTGGTGCACTACCAGTTAGCCCACATGGCAGAGAGCTACGTGCACCGCTGCGGCCGCACTGCCAGCCAGGCCACATGATATCATGCTGTGTTGGCTGCCTTTACCATGATATGATATGCCTCCCCATACCACCCGCAGGTGCGTCTGGTGGTGCACTACCAGCTACCTCACACGGCTGAGGGGTACGTGCATCGCTGCGGCCGCACGGCCCGAGGGGCTGCTTCAGAGGGATGCTCCGTGGCTCTGGTTACTCCAAAGGACTCCATTAAATACTCGTCGCTGCTGAGGAAACTGAACAAGGTGGGTGGTTTAAGTAGTCCCCTCTATTGTCCTCTTCCTCTCTTTTCCATTTCTCTCCCTCCTTCTCCCCCACAGACCGGCCCTGTCCCCACGTTCCCAGTGAATCACAACTACCTTCCCAACCTCAAGCAATGGGTCAGCCTGGCTTTAAGTGTCGATACTCTCTCCCTTCTCTTGACCTCTTCCTCCCTTTTCCATGTCTTTCCCATTCCTCTCCCTCTCTGCGCAGTCCGGCCCTCTCCCCACGTTCCCAGTTGACCATAACAACCTCCCCAACCTCTCGCAATGTGTGAGCCTGGCTTTAAGTTTTGACACTCCCTCTTTTTCTTTTCCCTCTATTTCTGTTTCCCATCCCTTTCCCATTACTCTCCCTTCCCCCCTCAGTCCGGCCCACTCCCCACCTTCCCGGTCGATCATAACTACCTCCCCAATCTCAAGCAATGCGTGAGCCTGGCTTTAAGTGTCGACACTCTCTCCCGCAAGCACTCCAAAGAGAAAGCAGAAACTTCCTGGAAGCAACGGGCTTCCAAGGCGGTGCAGGTGAATCTGGAGGAGAGGGGTGCTGACGTGGCAGGAGGGGAGGAAGAGGATGAGGATGAGGAGGGGGGAGGAGAGGAGAGTGAGGAGGAGGATTTTGATGATTTCGACGAGGCAGGAGGGGAGAGTGACGACGAAGGGGAGAGGGGAGGGCGAGGGAAGAGGAACAAGAAGCAGCAGCAGAAGGAGGAGGAGGAGCGGAGGAGCAATAGGAGGCGGGGAGGGGCACGGGGCGGGGAGGAGGAGGAGGAGGAGGAGGAGGAAGGGGATGTGGATCGAGGGGTGGATGTGAGGAGGTTGGTGGGGAGAGGGGAGAAGCGCGGGTGGGAGGGGCCAGGGGAGACAGGGGAGGACGGACGGCAGCAGATGAAGCAGGAGACAATTGAACTGCAGCGGATGAAAGAGGTGAGGGACTGGGGAGGATGCTGGTAGGGATTCAACCTGTTTGCCTAGCAGAGTGTGTTCTGTGGGTGCCTTAGGGAGAGGCAGGCAGGGAATGGGGGAGACAGGGGAGGATGGGCGGCAGCAGATGAAGCAGGAGACAATAGAACTGCTGAGGATGAAAGAGGTGAGGGACAGGGGCTGGCTGGCACTACCAACCCTATGGCACCCACAGAACTCACCCCATGACAGGGGCCTTTGTCACCATTCCCTACAGCAACACCAGTTCTTCTTTCCTTTCTCAATGAATGTCTTTTCCTATTTTTTAGGCCTTTTCCTATATCTAAAAATTGAGGCGTCTCAAAAACCATTCCCTACAGCAACATCAGTTCTTCTTTCCTTTGCCAATGAATGTCTGTGCATGCTCCTCTGCTCTTCCCCCTGCTCTTGGTTCATTCCATGGGCCAGGCCAGGTTCTGAAGCCAGCTGTCTCTAGGCCCTCTGCCCCACCAACCTGTACTCACTCAACCCACTCCTGTGCCACTCCCCTCATCTCCCTCTCCTCTCCCATTCGCTCATCCTTCCCACAATTGTCGTGCCCTTCTCTGTTTGTGTTACCAGGCGCTGAAGCAAGCTGTCTCTAGGCCCCTCTGTCCCACCAACCTGTACTCACTCAACCCACTCCTGTGCCGCTCCCCTCATCTCCCTCTCCTCTCCCATTCGCTCATCCTTCCCACAATTGTCGTGCCCTTCTCTATTTGTGTTACCAGATGCTGAAGCAAGCTGTCTCTGGGCCCCTCTGCCCCACCAACCTATGCTCACTCATCTCACTCCTGTGCCACTCCCCTCCTCTCCCTCTCCTCTCCCATTCGCTCATCCTTCCCACAATTGTCTGTTACCACAACTCCCCTTCTGTGTTTGAATGTGTTACCAGGCGCTGAAGCAAGCTGTCTCGCAACCCCTCAGACCCACCATTCTGTGCTCACTCAACTCAACCCACTCCGGTGCCACTCCCCCCATTTCCCGCTACTCGCCCATTCGCTCATCCCTCCCATGTGTCCTGCCCTCCTTGATTGTGTTGCCAGGCGCTGAAGCAAGCTGTCTCGCAGCCTCTCAGACCCACCAACCTACGCTCACTCATCTCTGCTGTAAGTCATTCTTCCCTTCCCTTTCCTCCTTACTCTATTCCCCTTCTATTCCCCTTTCTTGAAGGCTCATGCCTGTGCTGTGAGTCTCTGCTGCATGCTTCCACTATCACTTGCCACCTTTCCACCCTTCAGCATACATTTCCACAATCCAACAAACCTCTCCACCCTTGAACAACCTTTGCACTATATGCACTGGACTACCACCCTTCACCAATCCTCCGTCTCCTCCTCTCCTCCTCTCCTCTCGGCTGTTACCCTCTCCTCCTCTCTGCCTTCTGGTTTCAACCTTGTTGTTCTCCCCCCCTCTCTGTCCAATCGCACGTCAGTCTGGCATGACAACCGAGTTGGCCAATCAGCTGCGAGCAACCCCATCCGCTGCCGCCACGTCATCAGCAGCAGCAGGTACCCAGCGCCTCGCCAATCCCTTTGTTTCCTTGGCAACAGCCAGAGCGGGGAAGCAGTGGGGAACGGTGCAGGGAGGGGGAGATCGAGGTGGGGGGAGAGGGGGGGAGCGAGGGGGTAGGCACGGGGGAAGGGGGGGGTGGAGCGGTGGGGGGAGAGGAGGAGGAAGGAGAGGGGCATGGCAGCAGCAGTGGGGAGGTGGGGGAGGGAGGGGGAGGGGTGGTGGGGACATGGGAGGTAGAGGAGGCAGGGGAAGGGGCAGGGGTGGGGGGAGAGGAGGCCAGGCACCTGGCAGGGGGAGTGGTGGGGGAGGAGGAAGGGGAGGGGGGGCAGGTGGAGGGGGAGCAGGGGGAGGGGGAGGTGGGGCAGGGAGGATGGCGGGAGTGGTGGGGTCTAAGCAGGCGGATGCTGTCACAGCACTGAAGCGGGCTCGTGGAGGGAAAGTAACCCGCAAGTGATTGCTTGCCTTGCACGCAGGGATTTCTCTTCATTTTTCACAAAAAAAAAAAATCAATGTTGCTGAGAAAGGTACTGTATTTGTATTGAACATTGCCCGTCGCACATCAAAGTTAGCACTGTTTTATATCTCAAGCATTTAGCGTACCGTAAAATTATATATTTTCGGCCACCCAGCCTTCGTCTCCTACTCGAGCTTCCCTTACTTACATGTGTGTCAGACGCTGCCATATTCACTGTGTCAGTGTATGCACCATTTCACTCACAAGTGGACAGACAGTGAGGCCAGTAAGCCTCGCAAGGATCCCAAGGAGATGTTGGTAATGCGTCACTATTCAGGAAAAGCCATTGATTAGCATAAGCAGGGCATAAAACACTACGATTTGCTCGAAATGGATGGTCTTGTAGACACCACAGTTGACTCGAAGCCTAAGCTCTGCTGTCAATGGTTGGGGTAGGGTCTCGGGTGATTGACTTTACTGACTGCCACGTCACTTCCCTCTTCCCGCCAACCACCCCACCAACTTTGATCACATCATTCCAAGCGAACTGCCAGCGCGTCCATTCCATATTTCCTGTCCTGCACAGACATTTTATTTCATCACACTAGTAGTTACAAGACTTGAGTAACTGAGCCGCTCGCGTTCCAGAACTTTCGCCCTCTTCAATTATCCACGCAATGGCGTTAGTTCCTTTCTTTAGCCGCTTAAAAGCCATGGTTTCACTCACGCGCACCGAGCCGCCCTTCCCCTCCTGGAGCGCCTTCCCGACGACATGCTCGCGCTCGTCCTCCGCTCGCTCGCGCAGACCTCCTTCCGCCACGCGCTCGTTTCCAAGAGCTGGCACCGCCTTTCCGCGTCTGCGCTCTCCCACTTGACCGTTCAGCATCGCGGGTTTAAATCGAATAATGAATCTATATTTGAGACACATTCCTTTGAGGTCGACCGCAACGCGCAGCTTGCGTGGCTTCCGCTTCCGCACCTTCTTTCCGCGCTCCGCCGCTTTCCCGCCCTCACGCACGTGACGCTGGGCAGCTTTTCCATCATCACCAAATTGAAATGTCCCGAAACTGTCCTGAAAGATTCTTTCCGAATACTTTCGGGACAGTTTGAAAAGTGTCTCGAAAGACACTTTCGAGACTAAGTGAAATGTCCCGAAAGGGTCACGCCCAACTATCTCGAAAGTGTCTTTCGAGACACTTTTGGGACACATTCGAGACCTCTCTTCCTGTAGCATTGAGGACTCTCCCACGGACAGATTCGGGACGTCTCTGGGTTTGCTTGCATTGCAACTGCCTCTCTTGCGCTTGGCCTTAAAGCCCCATTGTATTTAAAACAGGACATTAATACAATGTTTATACAAGAAAACACTAGAAACGCTAATGCATAATTCTTGCACCATGATGTATACAAATTGCCACAACTTCCAGAACCATAAGGCTCAAATTTATTATCTGGCATAACACAAAAACACCGCAACATCTAAGTAGTGGCTTCAATTGAGTCATAATAAACGTTGTGCAGACATGAAGTAATCAATATCACCCTTGAACCGACGATGAATTGATCCAATTATAATATATTGAACCGCAACATAGGCATATAGTATGCTGGAAAACATCATTTGTCAGTCATTGAGGTTAGAAAACAAAGCTCCAGAACAGAATGAAAAAAACTTACCGTCGACGAAAACATTGACATCTCCTTTTAGCAAATTCTGTTCAGACAGATCTTACAATCAAACAACAACGTTGACACACCAAACATTTTTGTTTACAATAAAATAACAATGTTCAAGAAAATGAAATTGCAAGAAAACGTACAAGTGAAGTAGATGATTCATCGTGTTGAATCGTACGAAACGCCATGATTCCTTTCCAACGTCATTGAGAAGATGTGACTTGCTATCCTGATTCAATGCCACGGGAAAAAGGATGAACGGATGGGAAAGCCAGTTTGAAATGTGACGCGGTAACATAGTGTCAGAACTAGCAGTAGAAAGTAAGAATGAAGAAAGGAGGAGGTTCACTAGCAAGCAGTTGAGTACATATAGGAAACCCTAGATTGGGCTGTACTCGCTATAGAGTACCCCACTACAGGCTAGACAAATACAACATTCTGACACACCCCCATAGCCAAAGTGGGGTGTAATCAGCACAATGAGCAGGTATAGCAGGAGTTCACAATAAGAAGCAAAGCTAGAGGTAATCACAACGGGCAAGTGAGGAGGAGGAGGGACTGTGAGAGGAGAGAAGATGAGAGACGGCGGCTGAAGCTGCAGACACACGGGCAACAGGAGCTGCTGGCACAGTGGCTACCGGGACAGTGCGCCCCGGACTACTGGAGTAACTGGCTCACGGGCTACGACGAGCTACAGGAGCAACGGACCCTCGGGCGACAGGCGCAGCAGACTCTTTGGGCTACCAGGACAGTGCGCCCCGGACTACAGGTGCTGCGGACGACAAGACAGCAGCCTCCGCTCAACCTCCTCCAACTGTCCCACACACCCCCCACACACCCACTGCTTCACTCCTAACTCCACTTGCACGTCACCCCCCTAGTACCACTCCTTCGGCTCCCACACACCCACCCCCCTCAGCGGCAGCTGCAGCACTGGGAGACGGAGGAGGAGGAGGAGTAGGGGACGACGCACAGAAACTGCACCCCCATACCCCCCACCCCCAAACCCTAATTCAGGAGAACGGGCAGCAGCAGGGGTGGGGCGCCGTCAGAAGCACGGGGGACAGCGGGCAGCGCAGGGGCAGAGAAAACAGGGCGCCCACGGGCCTGGCGCAGCCCGTACGAACCGCGTGCGGGCGGCCCGAGGCGCGCCCTGGCCTGGCGCAGTCCGTACGGGCCGAGCGCGGGCCTGGCGCTGCCCGTACGGGCCGCGCGCGGGCCTGGCGCAGCCCGTACGGGCCGCGCGCAGGCTGTACGGGCCGCGCGCGGGCCCTACGCAGGTCGCGCAGGCCGCGACGGGCGACGGGGGGCGACGCGCGGGTCCCCGTCGCCCGTCGCAGCGCCTCCCGGGAGCGACGCGCGGAGTGACGGGGCAGAAAGCCGCCGCGCGCCTCGGGGCGCACGGCGGGCAGAAAACCGCCGCGCGCCTCGGGGCGCACGGCGGGCAGAAAACCGCCGCGCGCCTCGGGGCGCACGGCGGGCAGAAAACCGCCGCACGCTCCGAGCGCGCGGCGGGATGAAAAATCCGTCGCACGCCACGGGGCGTGCAACACACAGAGTAGCAGTAGCAGCGGAAGCAGTGAGGTGGTGGGCCCACCCAGAGGATCGACCCAAGGGGATCGACCTGCTCTGATAGCATGTCAGAACTAGCAGTAGAAAGTAAGAATGAAGAAAGGAGGAGGTTCACTAGCAAGCAGTTGAGTACATATAGGAAACCCTAGATTGGGCTGTACTCGCTATAGAGTACCCCACTGCAGGCTAGACAAATACAACATTCTGACACATAGTAGGGGACGTAAGCAGTGACGCGAGATGAGAGAGACTTCAAGGAACTAAACAAATAATCGTCAAAATCATGGTTCTAGTTACGAAAGACGAGTTAGAACAAGAGTGTAATTAATGACAAACGAAGACTGCGGGGTAATATAGTGATTTAAGGGCGTAAATGTTAGTTGAAGTGTTGAACAGAATTAACAAGTCGAGCCTAGTTACTGGGAGACACAAGAGCAGAGCAGCAAATAACAAAGTGAAGAACAAAAGGTGACGAGAGAACAACGCCTTCTTCTAGCAACAAGTTTGGATCGTTTTACGGTATGGATGGGTTATAGTAGTTTCGTATCGGTGATCGAGATGGGGTTCACACCATGAAGTGGACCTCACAGGTGGTTGAATATTTTAGTTCTGTGGTGGACCTTTGGCAGTGACGCGAATTCTTTTAGTGCACGTGGACGATTTCGGCACTGCTGGCAGGTGCCACGTATTTCCTTTCGCGACACGTGGCGCGAAATTTTGATTTAGTAGATTTATATTTAAATTGGAGGTATAAAATTCACATCTGCTCCTAGCGCAGTGGTCTTGTACTTCAGATATTTTACGAAGGTGGTGAGTTCGATTCCCGATGAGGTTCTTGACGCTAAACACAAAAGCAATATTTTGTTTTGAGTGCCAGTTTTTGTAACAAACAACTACTGGTAACATTGTGGGATTATGATTACCACCAACATTGTGGTGTACTTATATTTCGTAATGAAATATTCCAGAAGGGTACAACACGAACGAAAATCATAAACAAAATCTACACCCAACGCAATGGAACTGACATCGACGGGCATCGAACCTGCGTCTTCTGATCGCGTCGCAGTTCTAACCTTCCCAGGCCTGGGCAGATTACGACACAAGTCACTTTTGGGACATGTTGAAATGTAGCGCAAAACCGCCTGAAGACGAAAATGTCCCGAAAGTGTCTTTCAAGATAGTTTCGGGACGGATTTGTGTCTGTTCTGGGACAGAATGGTTTCGGGACAGATTGGGGACCACGCAATTTTGGTTATGATCTTATCCGCTGACGGCGACGCGCTCTTTCACTGTCTGGCCGCCACGTGTCCGCGCCTGCTCCATCTAACGGTGGAGCATCAGTTTGAAATGTCGGTTACTGTAGACGGCCTCGCGTCGCTCTTCCATGGATGTCGCAAGCTCAGAGAACTCTTGCTATTCACCACCAACCACCTCCCGCATCTCCCGGCGTCCCTCTCGCTCCTAACAGATCTCCAAACCCTCCACGTGTGCTTGCGTACTCGCTGTGGCCACGACTCGTTACAGGAGCTCGTGTCACCGCTCGAGAGCATCGGCGCGCTGCAGCAGCTGCGCGAGTTGGGGATCGGCGTGGGGCTGTGTTTCCGCGGTCTCGGACTCGATCAGAGCGTGGGCCTTTTGCGTGGTACCCTTCGCACGCCGAGCATTACTAGTGGTGAACTCTTTCCAGAAACTATCACGGAGCTTCCTAACGCG